TTTATTATTTTAATAATATTGTGAAAGATACTATAAAAACTCAAGTATATTTTATATAATTTCAAAACCGTTTAGTAAATTTTATATAAATATTTTTTGTGTTATATTGTCCATAACCAAATATTATAAAGTTAATTACTAAAATTATCAAATTTATTAAAACTAACCAAAGAAATAACAATCGTTTCGGAAAATTTAACAAAATGAACATCTTGTTTGCTAAATCAAACAATTTTATTTATTGTTATTTAACAATTATTATGTTTAATTATATTATATAAACGTCTTTAAAAATTATATATCACAATGATCTTTATATTCGATTTACTATTATTGAAACTAAATAAAATTTTGATTTAGAATTATTTTAACGAGGGAATAATTTTAGTTAAATTTTATTTTGGTATCAGATTTAAAAGTCAATGATTGAAAATTGAAAATTCAAATAATAAACATTTGATGATTTGAATTGGTTTTATTCGATGCGGTGTAGATAAATAATATTAGTAAAGTGACTTCTATATTTGTTCTAAATACGTGACACATCTTGTATGTTAAATAACAATTTGGTTAACAACCACAAAATTAAATATAATTTAAATAAATAAATATAATATATTAAAAAAAAATTCACGTGTAATAAATGAATAAAAATTATTTTATGCTTGCAAAATCAGTTTATTTAAATTTCAGTTTATTACAGCAACCTATAGACGTTAAAAACAAACAAACTTCTTATTACAGACTATAACCGTTTGATCTACCTCATCTGCTGCAGAAAGTTGCAGATGTGATCCACAGACTTTAGGCGTTTTAGATTCGAAAAAACCTAATACAATGTTTGGCAAAGACAAACTACTTATTCTAATTTAAGCGTTTCATAAAACAATTTTAACCTAATCTATAAGCTAAAATCTAGCTTTATAATTGTCAAACTAAGCCTAACTAGACTTGCTAAGATTGAAAGCTGTCTAAAATGTTTCATATTAATTAAATATAATAAAATTATAATTCTATACAATTTATTCATTTTGACAAAAAAAATTGATTTCATAAAAGGATAAGAATATGATCATGGGCCTATTTGCCATACCGGAGGCCGGAGGGGGGAAGACAATAGTAAATAGAAAACCAAGATTTCGTCTTGCTTCAACCACTTTCTCTCTATACGGATCCTCAGCTCTGACTTGATCCTTCGTCTCGGGAATCACCATGGCTATACAATCATCTAAACCTCGCGGTATCTTCAATTACTCTCTTTGTACTTGTTCTTATCATCATCTTCATCATCATCATGTGCTTTTTTGTTGTTGATGTTATGTGCAGCTCTACGCTGAAAACTCAATTGAGTCTTGAAATTTCGATACTGTTAATGATTGTTTGTGTGCTTTATGATTAATGAGGCGTACTTAATTTAATTGCAATTTGCAAAGTAAACCCAAAACCTCCAATTCGAAAATCGCCGACAAAGTTCATTCACCTGAACTTTAACTCTATGCTGAAATTTGCTCAATTCGATCACTATTTTTTAAAACTTTATGGTTTAAAATCCATTTGATGATTCATGCATGCGCTTTGTGATTGATGAGCTACAGTTCGATCTCGAGTTTGAAATTAGTTGATTTTTTTTTCTGTAATTGTACAGGCGTCTGTAACTTCCCCAAATAGGGCCTGTTGAGTGTTGACTTAATCCTTTTTCTTTCTCCCTTACTTTCCGTTAAGGGAGAAAGTTAAGATGTCGCCTTTTCTTTTGCAGTTTTATTTTTATATTCTTCTACCTTTCAGACAAGGAATTCACACAATATTAACTCTAGTAAAAAGGTTAAGAACCTAAGAAAGAAGACATGAAATTGCACTTTTTCTGATCATTTGAAATAGGATCCAATCCATTGTATAGTTTCTTGATTCATGGATTCTAATTATCAATTTTTCTCTTTTGCTCTTACACAGATGAGCAGAACAACGATTCAGAGAGCTCATATTCCAATTTTCCACCAATGGATGTCTCAATTGCATTTCCTCAAGCTACACCTGCTTCAATCTTTCCACCTTGCAGTAAGATTGAAAAGACTATTTAAGCTTAAAAACACAACACCTTTATTCTGCCATTTATAATCCCTTTTATTACTTAATATTTGCAGCCTCAGACTACTATCACTTTGCTGACCTTCTTACCCCTGAGGAACAAGCTCTAAGACTGAGAGTAAGAGCATGTGTGGAGAAAGAAATTGCTCCAATAATGACCAAGGTACCCCCCCCCCCCTCCACCCCCACCCACCCACCCCCACTAGATATATTCAAAACTGATGTTAAGTATTAATGAATCAATGCAGTATTGGGAGAAGGCAGAGTTTCCATTTGAAGTTGTTCCAAAATTAGGAGCTCTGAATATAGCTGGTGGAACTATCAAGGTATTTTGAGTAAATAATATCTGTTTTAAATTATTTTTTTAGATCATAAATATTGCAATTGTTTGTTAAAAGAGTTGAATTTTTCACTTTTCAGGGGTATGGGTGTCCAGGTTTTTCTGTCACTGCAAATGCATTAGCTACAGCAGAAATAGCCAGAGTTGATGCAAGTTGCTCTACTTTTATTTTAGTGCATTCTTCATTGGCAATGCTCACCATATGTAAGATCTTGATTTTAATTTTAAAATCGGTTAATTACAAGATATAACAATCTACTTATATTTATTTATTTATTTATTTTTAAATCTTCTAACTTTTTATTCTTTCAAAAACAGCTCTATGTGGATCAGAAACACAAAAACAGAAATATTTACCATCACTTGCAAAACTAGACACTATAGCTTGTTGGGTGAGTGATTGAGCTTTTATTTAATAATATAAAATAGTCTCAATTTATTTTCATCTATTTTTTTTTAATCTAATTTTTTTTAATTAGGGTTTGACTGAACCTGATTATGGAAGTGATGCAAGTGGCCTTAGAACAACAGCAACAAAGGTCAACACTCAACACGATGATCCCATTTTTTATTTTTATTTTTATTTTTTTATATTTCTGATGATATTAAATTATCAGGTGGAAGGAGGATGGGTGATTGAAGGCCAAAAAAGATGGATTGGAAATAGCACTTTTGCAGATATTTTGGTTATTTTTGCTAAAAACAAAAACACAAACCAGATAAACGGGTAAAAAAAAATATTTCAATCATGTCTAAATTTACCATGAGGTCTTTTTTTTTTAACAAATACTTTGTTACAGATTCATTGTAAAGAAGAATTCACAAGGGCTAAAAGCGACAAAAATAGAAAATAAAATCGGGCTCAGAATGGTTCAAAATGGAGATATTCTTTTAGAAAAAGTTTTTGTCCCCGATGAAGATAGGTTACCTGGGGTCAACTCTTTCCAAGATACAAGCAAAGTAGTTTCCTATTTTTTATTTTTATTTTTCATAATCGTTGAAAACAAATACACTTAAATTTACGTATTTACCCTTACCCGAACCGAATGTAGGTGCTTGCGGTTTCCCGTGTCATGGTTGCCTGGCAACCTATTGGCATCACAATGGGTGTCTACGATATGTGCCATAGGTAATGAGGATGATGAGGGCATTTACGTCTTTTTCACATGACTTTATGGATGGGGAGGTGATATTTCCACTTATGTTTTTTGATCCATCCACTTAAAAAAAATGTGTTTTTGACTTTTATACCCCTCAACATGATTCTCTCCTCATTTAAAAGAAGTGGTATAAAAGTCAAAAGTCAAAAGTCAAAAGTCAAAACACATTTTTTTAAGTGGATGAATCAAAAGCATAAGTGGAAATATCACCTCCCTTTTGACATTGGTCACTGTTCCACTACAATTATGTTAGACACAGTAAAACCTGTTCTGTCATGTCATATCATGTCCAGCATACTGTTGATTTTGTTTAGTATTTTCTTAATGTTTTTTTTATTAAATTTTTGTAGATATTTATTAGAGAGAAAGCAATTTGGAGCTCCATTAGCAGCTTTTCAAATCAACCAACAAAAGTTAGTTCAAATGTTGGCTAATATCCAAGCCATGTTTTTGATTGGTTGGCGGCTTTGTAAGTTGTATGAAAGTGGTAAAATGACTCCGGGTCAAGCCAGCTTAGGAAAGGTATGGAAGAAATAACAACCTACTTTTGTTTATTTCTTTTTTAATTTCTATTATTACAATATTGTACATTACTATTTCATGCATTAAATCCTATTTTATATTATTAAATACTATGTTGATCTAATGCCTACTTATCAAACATACAGTCATGGATCACCTTGAGGGCTAGAGAAACCGTTGCATTGGGTCGTGAGTTACTTGGTGGGAATGGAATAATATCCGACTTTTTAGTTGCAAAGGTATTCACTTTTTTCATTAAATTTTGGTGTTAAATTGTATAAAGTTTGATGTGTTTGACTTTTTTTTTTTTTTTTTGGTGACAGGCTTTTGGAGATTTGGAGCCGATTTATACATATGAAGGAACGTATGACATTAACACGTTGGTGACTGGTAGAGAGATCACGGGTATTGCTAGTTTTAAGCCCGTTATAAAGAAGCCCCAAATCAGCCGTTTGTAATTTGAATGTGTTGTGGAAATTGTTGTGTTATTTAGGTGGTTCATTTGTGTAAGACAATGTATTTTTTTTTTCGTTAAGTGTTGTTTAAATAAAGTTGTCTTGATAAATGATGATTAAAAAATATTTTAATAAATGATGACGTGAGAAATAAATCTTTATAAAAAGTTAGTGCTTATTGAGAAATCTTCCATTTTCATGACTTGTGTAGTTACATTATCTCACCCTGTCTTGATCATTCCTATCTCTCAACTTTCACTATTTATTTATTCAAATTTATCAAACACCATCTAAAAATATTAAATACAAAAATAGAAACAGTTTATGCTTCTAAGTTAATAACCAAGTTCACTTCCAAGACAAGAAAGCATATGCTTCAACCACCAAAACCTACACATTCTTCCTATAAATCCACATACAACAACCACACAAAAAAACCAACTACTCGATCAAAATTCAAACATGAAAGACACCCAAACCAAGAAATTAGCTCTTTTAGTAGGGTGCAACTATGCAAACACACCAAATGAGTTACATGGTTGCATAAATGATGTGTTAGCCATGAGACAAGTTCTCATCAGCCGATTTGGGTTCGACCCAAATCGCATCAATCTGCTAACCGATGCACCTGGCTCACTTGTCATGCCAACCGGTGCAAACATAAAGGATGCACTTGACCATATGGTTGACCAAGCTGAGCCAGGTGATGTTCTTTACTTTCACTATAGTGGTCATGGGACACGAGTTCCTTCAATTAAACCACCACACACTTTTCATCGTCTAGATGAAGCCATCGTTCCTTGCGATTTTAATCTTATTACAGGTTAGTTTTATAAAGAATTGTTGATTTAAGTATTTTCTTTTGAACATACACTATGATTATATAAATTTTGCAGATCTGGATTTCCGAAACATAGTGAATCGAGTGCCAAAAGGAGCAACTTTCACCATTCTTTCTGATTCTTGCCATAGTGGCGGACTAATCGACAAAGAAAAAGAGCAAATCGGCCCATCGTCCCTCCAAAATTCCAATTTTACCCCTACCCTTACCTCCATCCCAACCATCACCAAATCCAAAACCATTCCTTTTGAATCAATTCTACTCCATCTTTCATCACTAACACACATAAACACACCCGATCTTGCCACACACTTTCTCGAGCTCTTTGGAGACACTGCAAGTCTCCGATTCCGATTCCCTTCGCACGAAATTGATTCCATTCCATCCTTACATGAAGATACCGGGATTTTGCTAAGTGGGTGTCAAGCAAATGAAACTTCCGCAGATATGAACCCTAATGGGGGTAAAGGGAAAGCTTATGGTGCTTTTAGTAATGCGATTGAGATTGTGTTGAAAGAGAATCAAGGTGATTTGAGTAACAAAGAAGTTGTGTTGATGGCTAGGAATGTTTTAAAGATACAAGGATTTGTGCAACATCCTTGTCTCTATTGCAGTGATGACCATGCAAACTCATTGTTCTTGAAATAGCAACGTACTTTCGATTATTTGTGTATTAAATAAAGCTTTGTACTTTCATTTATTTCTATTGCAACATTGTATTGTTTACCTTTTTATTTTAATCATAGATGTACTTTATAGTAGGATGCTACAATAAACAACTGCTATATTTTACACTTCTAAAGTCTAATGTGAGAAAGCAAAATCAAATACTGAAATATGATGATTTCAATTCTCAAATGAACAAGTACATGATTTTTTCTCTTTATATTTCATCAAATAAAATGATATAATAAGATACACTACTTCTTAAACAAACCAGAAAGCTCGCCATTTTCATGCATAGAGGACAATATATCACACCCTCCTACCAATTCACCATTCACAAACACTTGAGGAAAAGTAGGCCAATTACTATACCTCTTCAATGTCTCCCTCAATCCGCCATTATGTTCATCATCCAACACATCCACACTCTCGTAATCCACCCCTTCTGAATCCAAAATCCCAACAACTCTTTGAGAGAATCCACATTGAGGAGCTGTTCTTGACCCTTTGATGAAAGCCACCACCTTGTTTTCTTTCACCATACGATCGATTAGTTCTTCTAGAGGGACTGTTAGTTGAACATGTCGGCCAGGGGTAATCCGGAGATCGGCTTTTTTCTTGGGTGCTTGCCGGACCCATGTGGTGTTTCCGGTCTCGTTGCCGGGAGGGACTTTTCCGGCGACTTCTATGTGTTCTTCCATCCATGATTTCCAAGCTTGGGTTAGTGCTGATCTATCGGGATTATCCACCACTCCAACCTATATGATTTCAAATTAATCTCGAAAGCTATTAAGACCTAATTAAGAACATTTTTTTTGGGGAAAAGTGAAGTATGTACCTTGATGGAGGCACAGAGCTCTGGTACTGATTTCTGGTGATAAAGGATGCTGGATTGGATGTTACGGGACAATCCCACAAACTGCATATCACCGTTTTTGTCATAGACGGCGTAAACACCGGAAGCCGGGGGGAATACGGCGGAAACAGCGTCGGATTCGGGAGGAACGGGGACCGATTCCGTATCCGACAGCTTCCCGAGAGCAGAAACGACGAGAGACAGATGGGGACGACGGGCTTTAATTGTGTGGTTGGGTTTGAGCGAAACTGAAGAAGGGAATGAGAAGAAGGAAAGGTTTTTGATGTGGGTTGAGTGAAAACATGGAAGAGATTTAGGGGAGGTGTAAGTGCGAGAAGTGGTTAGTAACCGGAGAGAAGAGGAGGTGGTGGTGGTGTGAGTAGATGATGAGAGGTTCATCGCCGCCATTGATGCGTGAAGGAGCTGGAACTGATGACGATAATCAGAGATTCAGAGATTATAGTTTCAGCAAGTAAAAATATTTTAAACAAAAGTGCACAAAACTTATAATTAATCAAAGATGAAGGATGATTCTTGTAATTACTCAAAGAGTAAGGATAATTTGTGTAATTCACTCAAAAAGCACAAAACCATCGCGCAGGCACCAAGATTTATATGCGGTTCTTCTCTCCGACTGCCGATTTACAAATTAAAACGTAACTCCGCCACACAGCCGCCGCGATACCATTGCCAGCCATGGCTGCCGTGCTATCAAAAACTGCTCATCTCCGTCGTGCTTACCGACTCTTATCTTCTCACACGACATCTCGCCTAACACTACAGCTCTCCAATGAAATTCCTAAATCACCATTCCACCGACCTCTCCCTCAATCGGTTCGCTCTCATTTGTTTATCTATTGTATCAGTTCGATAATTATGTTGTGAAATTGTGCTCTATTTCTTCAATTTTCAGGGTCTAGGATCATTTACGAAGCTCCCTAGGTTTCTATCTACTAATGCTAATACTCAAGCTGATTCAGAATTGAAAGCAACCGCATCGGATTCTCACTCTGATCAGGGGAAGCAATCCGGAGATTCACATCAGAGTTCAGAACAGGGAAAATCTGTTCGAGGCGGAGTAATCTTCTTACTACATCTTTGATTTTCTATGTCAATTTCTGTACTGATATTGGTTTTACTACGACTGAAAACCTCTATTCTATCAGCTAAAATGAACTGCTATTTTTCCATTAATCAATCCATTCTAGATGAGATGTTGGTTTTCCATCTACGCTTTCTTGCACTTCAATTCACCAAGCATAAGTTAACTGATAATGCAATGATCTACACTCTACAGCCCATTTCTTGGTTGAGCTTTCTTTTGCTGGTTGCCACTGGAGCAGGAGTTATCTTCTACTATGATCAGGAAAAGAAACGACATATTGAAGGTAGATAACTACGGTGAGTAGGGTATATGTTTAGTTTTAGGGTTGATTAGATATAGAGTTGTAGACTATAATAACAACTGTATTTCCTGCAATTGCTAGTATACTTAAATGGCTAAGAAAACTTACTTGATTTATCTGGCATCTTGTTAGTAATATACATTTCCCTGCCTTTTGTATGAACTATATTTCTGATTGAACATTACATTAACAGTTTTTATATATTTCTAATTAGTCCTTTGTATGTTATACTATCTAATTACATATCTAATGAGCATTCTGTTCTTCTGCAGATATAAATACTTCTTCCACTGCAGTAAAACAAGGACCTTCTGCTGGAAAAGCAGCCATTGGTGGTCCATTCAACCTCATTAACCATGATGGAAAATCTGTCACTGAGAATGATTTCAAAGGCAAATGGACCCTCATATACTTCGGTTTTACCCACTGCCCGGATATCTGCCCGGATGAGCTTCAAAAACTTGCTGCTGCAATCGATAAAATAAGTAAGCACATAAATAATATATTTCCTCATAAAAAAAAATACACGTTACTCATTATAAAAAAAAAACAATATTTTATTTGCATATTCGCAGAGGCGAAATCAGGTTTTGAAATAGTCCCGGTTTTTATTTCGGTTGATCCAGAAAGGGATACAGTAGAACAAGTTTCTGAATATGTCAAAGGTATAAAAAAGTTGTTCTTCTTTTTGTAGGAACTTGATAATTTTATTTGGATTTTAATTTTTTTTTTCTTGTTTCAGAGTTTCACCCGAAGTTGATTGGGCTTACGGGTGATCCGGATGAGATTAAAAAGGCTGCTCGTGCTTATAGAGTTTACTATATGAAAACAGAGGAAGAGGGCTCAGATTACCTTGTTGATCACTCCATAATTATGTAAGTATATATCTTTATTCTGTTTTTTTGACTTTGATTTGAAAAAAGTAAATATATTTTTATTAAATTCTTACTATTTTCGTATGTTACTTAGGTACTTGATGGATCCGAATATGGAGTTTATAAAATTCTTTGGGAAAAATAACGATGTGGATGCTCTAACAGAAGGAATCATTAATGAAATCAAACAATACAAAAAAGCTAAAGCCTAATGCAAGTACATTGTACACACCCTCTTGACATGTCTATTTTTCTGCATCTTCCATATGCGGTTTTTGAACTTTCTTCTTTTAGGATTTTTGAGGGGATTAATGTTTTAGTATTTTTTTTTAAAATGGATGGTAGTAATAATTGGAATTAATTAAGTAATTATGGACTTATATGTTACAATATTTCAACTATTTTCATGTCTCTTTTAGTTCTTATGAAGTACATTAGCTAACATCGGACATACATATGATTGTTTGTTTCCATCTTGTTCTTATTAAGGCATAGTGCTTTGAAAAATCTACCCAAGTATAGTATTGTATTGTAACATTGTACTTTGCAAAATCTATCCAATTATATTATTTGTATTTATGTCAACTTATATTATTTTTTTATCGAAATCTGTATGGGTATGTTACACTCATATAATAGCAGATAAATGCAAATATCTTTTCAAACAATCCTATTTTACTATGATATCATTTCATGCGCTAGACTCAATTATAGATTTCATCAACAAAGTTGTTAGTTAATTTGGTGTAATTTGAGCCTGAAATGTTTTCATTACTTGAATGTGGAAATTAGATTCTATTGTGAATACCATTTTCACAGTTATTGTAATTTCATTAGATATGCGTGTATTTTTTCCTTTTACTGTCAAACATGTGTTGCATGAACCCAACAAGGCAATTTGTCCATGACAAATAGTAGTTTGTCATTGCTGTCGTATGACATTTTCATATATTAATTAAGGTTGGTTGCCTCATTTAGTACATGGAAAAATATATATGATCTTAGATACATTATTAGGATGAGATTGTCAATGTCTTTGTTAGTTGTCGTTTCTTTTGGATGATTGTTTTCACTTCTTTTGTTTTGAGATATTGGAAGAAACTAAAATACAAACATTTTTATATATATTGCTAAAAATTTCCATCCACTATCACTAAATCAATAGTTTTAGTTCATTAAGTATCCTTTAGCATTTCTAATTGTATATAGTTATATTTGTTAATTAATTGTCTTAAAAACTAATCATGTTCACTAAGAGACTGTCAAAGAGGTATATTTTCTTGTTCTTATTTCATAAGGTTGATTTACCATTTCAAACCTTTGTTCTTCGTAAATTTCTTAAACTCATAAATTTCATAGATTTTAATTTGTCAAAAGAAATTCACAACCGATCTTCGGAACACAAATAAAAACAAAAGAAACACAAATAATAACAAAAAAGAAGTACTACATAACAAATGAATGGTGAAGAGAGGAGCTTTATAAAAGAAATCCACATTGAGACTATGAGATAAATGAGACCCTATTATCCTAGGAATATCACTTTGAGAGAGGTGATCCACTCTTTCTATGCAAGGAGAGGAACAACAAACACATTTGGAGGCAAAATTCATTCCAAACCTGGAAAACTGCTACCAACAACAATGACATTCTTAATTAGTCTTAGTTTCCACAAAAAAACACCAATTTTCAAGGGAAACCATTTGTTCCAAAGATTTTGATAAAAAGATCTCTAGCGAGTCTCTTCTTTTGAGAGGACAACTCAATCAACTAAGGGGTTCCCCTCTTGTCAAAATACTGAAAACGAGAGCGAAGCATAAAAGAGCCTTTATTTTTATCTAAACTCAGAATAATATATGTAAAACATAAATGCATAATTTATTATTGTTTTATGCTTTATAAGTGTTTTTTATAAACAATGGGAAATATTTCGGTTAATTAGTAGTTTTTTAATTTCTATAAAACTATTTTTTTTCTTAAGGAGTCATCATAATTATTTTTATTTATATTGAAATTATCTTTCCTTTTAGTTAAATAGCATGTGTTGCAATTATTATTTTCTTATATTTAAGAGTTATATTCTAATTAAGATATATTTTATGTCCTTTAAATAGGGTTCAATTGTTTAGGTTTTAGGGTATTGTTTTTTCTAAGTGAAAATATAAGAGTCAGAGAAAGTTTCTCAACCTTTTTTGATCTTTGATTGATAAACATTATTATCCCCTTGTTTTAACACTTCCAATACAATACACGAGTTAAAATTGCCTATTATGTAGCTTTTGCTACATCAGTTTTGCTATGGTGACAAGATGGGTATGTGGGTTTTATTATAAGTCGTGTACATATTTTAGTTGACTTGCTATGTGACTTGGTAAGACATTCGTTACATCTGTCATACAATTGTCAATAGGAAAGTGTATAGTTGCGATTACATGGCATTGGAGATAACTTGGAATTCACATAACATGTAGCGTAGAATTGGAAGTTGGCCTCGGGATATGGTTTACTAGTGTGACCTGACTTGTGGAAATCCTGTAAAGACCATACAATATGATGCGATCTGGAAGTTTAGTACAATGGCCGCAGTTGATGTATTTCAGAACCAATTAACTTGACAACGCAACTTACAAGTGACGTAAGGAGGGTATTTAAAAATGTTTTATCATACGATTCATCACATTTATTTATCTTTTCTCTATAGACGAATTTCAAAGAACCCAAGTATGGCCTTAGTAGTTTGAGTGCATTATAATTTTTTTTGGGATAAACTTGATGTAATAACCCTAAATAGATATGAACTGAATTTTTTGTGTCGTTTTTTTGTTTGTTTTTTTTGGGACGAAACCAAATAAACTATATATAAATAAGAAAAAATAGCACAAAGCTAGAAAAGGGCACCGACTACACATTGTTTAGATAGTTTTGTAACCAAGACACCCAGCTAACATTACACATACGATTCCTATTAGAATACCAAAGAAAAGAGAATTCTCTTATGGAGTCGAAATTTTCATCTTTTATAAGCTTTCCTCAAGCAAAAATTTTATCGTTTTTAAACTTCCATAGATACCCCATGTTGGAGTGTCGAATCCAACAAAATAAATTATCAAAATATGATAAAAAATTAAACCAACTTAGACACACTAAGGATTAGTATGAATGGAAGTAAGGTTCGTGTCCTCAGGGAAACACAGGCTAACAAGTTATACCAAAGATTTCCAATTACAAGTATGATTGTCACTTAAACAAAATAAAAACAAGAGGAGTTGCATTTTAGAAACTACTACAACTAGCATGAAGCATATTAAAAATAAATTCAAATAATAAAAAGTATTTCAACATAAGAGTTATCTATTGTTATGATTCAAATTATGATCATCAATAATTATGGTGCAATGATCTTATGAAGAATGAATTGTATTGACACGTGATGTTTAGCCGTTCTAATAATCTTCCACGTATGTATTTAACAAAATACAGTTCATTGATTAAATATAATATGCAACACTAAGTTCTAGCAGCTCTAGTCTTAGGGTACACATTGCAATGATGATGATGGAAGTGTCATTTATAATAAACCATTCACGCCATTTAGAATGCTTTAATTATATTGTATGAATCTATAATGGAATTGAATTCATAGAAAAAAACAACGCCATTAATTGTTCCCAAGAATGGGAGTAGAAAATTAAAAAAATGATCAATTTCATTAATAATCTAAAATGTTTCCATTCATAATCCAGAATTGAATACAAGAAAACATACAAGAAGATCTAACATAATTATTTCACATAAAAGTTTGAATCATACTTCAAAAGATAAACCTTAATGTTGGAATTAGTGAGATTTAGCCACATATAATGACTAAATCTTGAAGTAATCTAAGAGATAAATGTAAAATCAAAAGAAATTAATGTTCTTCACTTAAACTAGATGAATTCTCCTTCAAAATGCTCCAGAAAATCGCCCCATAATGAAGTGTGTGGTCAAAATGACCCAATAATCGTGTTTAAAGGAGGTGGTTACAAGCAGTTTTCGCGTTGACGCGGTCGTGCTACTATATAGGCTAAAATCAGCATGATCGTGTGGTCCATAAAGAGCCTCCAAAATCTTCCTCAACATGGCCGCGTGGTATTCTTGCAAACTAAACACGGCTGTTTGGAGTTGTTGCCTTGCATTTTCCAACTTCAAATTTAATGTCCAAAATGATCACCCGATCTTCCTTTAGCATCCAAAATCATCTCTCGGCCTTCCTTTAGTATCCAAAATCATCTGTAATCGCTCCAAACCTACAAAAACAACCAAAAATACCCCAACGTAGATTGTGCTCCACCAAAGTGTGTTTTTTCACAAAATGATATACAAAGTATGAAATAAATGCATAAAATGCAATATAAATGAATGTAGAAAATATGGAAAAGTATGCATAAAAATACACTTAACAAACCTCCCCAAGCTTAGACCTTTATTTTCCTCATAAAAGAATGAGAATCGGATAAAACGAGATGATTTCTAGATGAAAAAAATAAATATTGAACAAAAAGGGACGGAAAGAACCTAAAGGATCTAGGAACGAATGTATGCAATAAAAACAATGAAAATAACATATATATACAAAAAAAAACTAAGAAAATAAGCTTAGTAAAGCTTCAAAAAGTAAAAGTGAAAATTTTATTATTGATCCAAATTTCATAATTCTTACTTTTTCCGATCACATGGTATGAAAGTCAAGCACTAATTTTCCAAACACAAAATGTTATCCATTTATTGTTCCCACTTCAAGAAAGTCTCAACAGAGTCATACATTGGTCATTGTCCTTAAAATGACAGTCGTTCAACCAATGTTCAAAGTTAGAGGGTCGTGAGACGTCATATGAAAGTCACCGATTTAGTGGTTTTGAAAATGTAGACAACTCTGATGCCAAATTGCTTTATTCGGGAAGGTATCATATTTTTCAAAAGGGACCGCTTCTCTAAAACTCCCTCGGTGTACTCAAGGTTAAACATACCTTGCATTCCATCCCAGTCTCACTGTCCATATCAGGCTTACTCCCAAAGGTACCAATCGTTACATCCACCTGATATATTGTGTTGCTCGCATCTTTAACTTTCAACTTGACTACTTTGACTTGCTTTGATGAACTTTGTCTTTTGCTTCTTCAAGTTGCTTTCTTTTTGTCACTTTTTTTTTCGAGATTGCTTTCTTTTGATGACTTCCTTACTTCTAAATCTCTTTGGTGTAAGACTTGGTTCGAGGATTCTTTCTTTAATTGTGCCTTTATTTATTCTTGAACCACTTGCTTGTGTAGATTTGTCCTGATTAAGTGAAATGGCCAACCAAGTCTTCAATACTTCAGATAATGTGTGGAAGGGTGGA